AGCCTCAGTCACGTGTTCATGTTACTCGGAAGCAGCCGGAGCCAGATGGGGCCATAAGTTGCCAGGTGAAATATCAAGAGGCTCTTCCTAGAGACTGCAGCAGGTTGACACGCCTGAGCAACCCTGTCCCCTGCACTTCCTCCCCGCCCTTTTGAACCCCTGTTGTTCTTGTTCAGTCCCATGTGATTGTTTTCCCTGTATCTTTGGCAACAACAGATGTTTCGAGTCAAGGACTCAGCAAAGGCCTGCCAAATATGTCAAGTCCAGGAGGAGAGGGATTGTGGCTCTGGGACAGTTTTTCTTCATTCTCGTTCAGCAGCCGAACAAACTTCCTCTCCATTGTCTTTTTTTTGGAAGTTATCTGTGATCGGCATCTCAGCCACCTAAGAACTTGAAGGCAGCTTCCAGCAGGTCAGGTGTCATTCAGACAATCTCAGGACAATGGAAGGGACTTTTCCTTAAGGTCCAGGTAAAATCTATAGAGTAACTCCTCCCCTATCGAGCCTGGCCTTTACACCATCGTAGTAGGCTATAAAGGAATTTTTCAGAGGACAGTCTTCATTTATAGCTCCTGTCCCATCTCAGCATCCATGTATGGGCACCTGACTCAGCAGACTAAAGCATTTATCTTGAAAGAAGGGTCAGTAGCGATCCCCCTATAACCAGAACCCCAGGGAGGAGCTATTTTTAAAGGGGAAAGGGTTGTATTTCCTGAGGAAACAAAAGCTAAAAGGTCTTAATTCTTCATAAGTGAAAATGATAGTTTCAAAGTCAAATGACAGAAACTGGCAGTGTTCCATCAGGAATAAATGCAGAAATGTATCTAAATAGCAGCAGGAAAACTTAAAACTGAATGTACGAAGCTCCTGACAGTGAGGGCAGCGACCTCAGCAGCACATTGCTGATGCGACCTGAGGAAGCTTTTCCTCTGGGTGGGGGGCACAAAAAGTGGAGGACAGTGTTCCCGGGTACACCTCAGCCTCTTTCTCAGAGGCAGGTCTGGCATGTTCCAAGTGATCACCCGAGGTCACTTTGCCCCAGGGCTGTGTCACGTTCCATTTCATCTGTTGTAGTCAGGCACAGAGGCCTGTGGCAAGGTGTGTGATGGATAGCCTGAGGCTGGCTGTTTTGCGGGATGTTGCAGATCTGGTAGTCAGTCCTGCCTAGGAGAAGATCTGTGTGTATTTTTGAGTCTGGGACCATCCTTCCTAGGTTGTCAATGGCTTTTCTACCCTTTTAACTTTGCATAGGAGACAGTGTATACAATGATAGCAGTAACTTTTATTAAGCTCTTATTGTGTTCTTCTTACTGGGCAGAGCACCTTAGATGGCTCCTCTGCACAACTCTGCGCAAATACTATCATTTTGTCCATTTGATAGATGGAAATACAAGAGCTTTGAAAAGTAGGGACCCTCGGGCCAAGATTACAGCCCAGAGAAGAAACCATACCCTGGTGAGTTTACTCAGTCTCATTAGGGCTCAAACCCAACTTTCCTCACTCAGTAGCAGTGATGACAAAATTTTGAGAGCTTTCAGTGACAACAAATAGTTGGCTGCAGCATGCGTGCTGTGGCTCACCACCGCTGCTGTACGGTGAGGGTCTTGCACACATTATTTCCACTTTCTGAGCTCAGACCTCTGAAAATAACACAGACTATGCATCGCCATAGGGCAGATTCCATAAGATGAAGTCTCCAGTGTGGTATTTGACATGTAGGAGATGTTCAGTTTGTTCATCCTCTTCCCCCTGCCTTTGCTGTCCCTTTCCCTGGGCTTTTCCTGGTTTGAATTATTCCTTCATGACGTCCCTGGTTCTAATCAGACCTCGCTCAGTGACAGGCAGGGACATTTTGCAGCTCAGCGTCCCTCTGACTGATGTCGACTGCTAATTCCTTAAATTTACATATCATCTTTCTTCCCTGGAGCTCATAGCACTTAACAGACAAGTGGGGCACAAATGATTTAACTAAGTGAAATCCAGAGGCCTGCTTGTCTGGAGGTTCTGCAGCCGGGTGGATTAGCTCAGATGGCAGCGCTGAATTACGATCCTTCAGCTGCTCGTGCTTCACACGCCACCAGCATTAACTCCCGGGTCTAGCAATGGCCTCTAAATCATGCACAGTGATTATCATCCCGCTGAGAGGGAAGGGGAAGAAAAGACATGAAAGAAGGAGGGGCTACTGAGGGTCCCCAGAAGAGGCTGGCCCCGAGACCTTTGGCAGTAATGGGCTGGGTCAATAGAAGCAGCCCGGGTAAGCTTGAGCCCGCCCCTTCCTCGCCACCCAGCACACATTTCACCCCATTCTACCCAGCACACTGCGCCTGCCCAGCGCTAAGAGTGCACATTCGCACAAGTGGCAGTATTTCTGCCAAGAGATTCCCAGGCAGCAAGTGGGTCTTCTTTGTGAAACTGTGAAGGAAGAAGGCTGACTAATAAGTCTCTGAAGTCTGGTTTCCTTTAAAGCCAAGGTGGAGTCCATTGCTGGGCTTGGAAATTATAGAGAGCACAGGAACATTTCAGGTGCTCTGCCGAGTGTCTCAGTTCATTGGGTCCCTCCACAGGTCACCCTGTTATTAACTCACCTCCCCTTTGGAAGGGGTTTTGGGCTCAGGAGAATGGAAGGAACTGTGAAGGGCTTGTGTGAATCCAAGAGATTGCTGGAGGCTAACTGATTATCCCTCTGTCCTTACAATATGTAGCTTCATAGCACAATTCATCTGTGTGTCATTCATTTGTTCATTCATTCGTTCATTAGTTCATGTATGCGTGCAAGGGAATAACATTTCAGAGGGAAAGGAAAAAGCTGTGTTAAACTTTCTACACATAAAATCAGAACCCTACAGTCTTACTGTGGTGATAAGAAGGGCTTCCACCAGACAGTCAAGCTGTAGGGCCAGGAAGCATGGGTGGTTGCCTGCCAGAACCCAAAGAAAATGGCCATCTGTCCCTTAAAGGCAGGTAAAATCAGTACTACCATCATTAATTGCTCAAGTTGTGAAAAGAGGAAGAGGAGGAGGATTAATGTTGCTTGTGTCAGAATGGTTAGGAAAACAAGTGGTATGAGGGATGTGCTAGTGCAGCCCTGGGTGTAAGGAATCAAGAGAAGCAGGGGCAAGGCAGCAGCAAGCCCAGGGGAAGCTGTTTGTCTCCTGCCAGGTGGGGTTGGTTCAAGGTCTTGGCCAAGGCACCTGCAGGTAGCTGAAATAGAAGAGTTCACTCCAGAAAGATGGGAAACCCTCGGTCTAGGCGGGACCATTCCATAGACATGATGCTTTCATCTTTATGGGCCTCAATTTCTTCATCTCGAATAAAGATGAATAATCTAATTCATAGCTTGTAGTAGCTGAAATAAAGCATACTGGTGTGCTTTGTAACCTGTGAAGCATTATGCAAATATGAGTTGTAATTATTATCATTAAGGGTGGTAGCAAAAGATCTGATGGGGGAGTATAGATTTAGAAGATCACTGGGTGTTAGTTGTGTTATCAGTCTCCTCCCTCACAGACCCCCATCATTAAAATTCTCTCCTGGAAACTGCTGCCTCTTCATTGCCTGTGCTGCCTGGGCCTTGAAGAGGTCAGGTGTTGTGGGATGTGAAGACGGGCTTGGCAGAAGATGGGCTTGGCAGAGAAGGCGCAAGCTAGAATCCCACATAGCATCCTCCACAGGGCTCCTTTGACTCCTGAAGCAATAATCCCAGAGGGTCTAACAACAGGCAGGGCCTCAAGGGAGCCAGAAATGTGAGCAGAGTGCCTGGGAGTTGACAGGGAAGGAGCCCTTCCTGCGCCGCTGACAGAAGGTCTGTCTAATTTCTCACCTGGATCTTAGCAGGAATGATGACAACCCAGCAGTCAGCGTGGCACTGACTCAGGGCTCCAAAGTCCTAGCCTGCCCTTCCCTGACAACCCTAGAATATTCACAGTCCTTATGGAGTGAAAAAGCTCCGTGCACATCCCAGACTAACACAGCCTCACATTAACGTAACACTGAGGTGTCCAGTGGCCCGCATTCCACGCTGGGCATATGATGTGCCCCTCTGTTTCTGGGCTGAAGGCAGATGGTGAGAGTCCCTCCTCAGGTGCTCCTTGCTCTCTGCATGAATGGCCGGAGTTCTGCACATGCTGGAGTCAAAGGTACCAACCTTAGCACCTGTGTCTCCGAGGCATAGGTCTGCCAGTGGTAACAAGACCTCAACTGAAGTGGAGGAGTCTGATTATTTAAAACTAATCCACCAGAAGGGCCATTCTCCAAACATTCGGGCAGGTGAGGCCATAGTTTTGTAGACTATGTATGTTTTGTGCCAAACACATAGCCTTTGTTAATGCTAGTAATCTTATCTTTGTCATTGGACCTGTGTGTGTGTCTGGCTGCTTGACAGGGGCCGAGTTCAGGCCCCTGAGGGTGTAGAAAGGGTGGAGTGAAATATCCCCCAAATTACCCTGCTCAGCCAGCCCCTGTTCTGCTTGAAGTTGACACTGGCTCTTAAGCTGCAGTCACTGGAGTCCAGGGATCATCTAGCACCATTGGCAGAGACAGAAAGTTTTAATTGTCTTCCATTTGGACCGTGACCAGGCAAGATGACAAAGGCCTGAAGCACAAACCACCAGTCACCCTCCTGTGTAACAGCCACCTCAGCCCCTGTAAACTGTTCCTTGTAATCAGCTCATTAGACCGCACTGGCCCTGTGGGTATGCCCATGATGACTAAGACATGAGTCTGGCCTCCCAGAATGTAGGGAGAGAAGGCAAGCCCATACTCAACCAGTCAAGATATAAGACCGACGCAGAAACAAACAGGCGGGCACTTTGTGACTTAGAGAGACTTAGAAAGGGCTTCAGGGGGGATCGGCATTGGCATGAGCACCCTGAGGGAGTCCTAGAAAGAGCTAAGGCCTTGCAGAACAAGAACCTGCTGCAGGCCCAACTTTCCCCCACAGCTCTAAACAAGTGTCTTTCCCTGGCATTTACCAGGAATTCCTGTTTGGGTTTGTTTCCCCAGATGACAGGAATTTCTTGCGGATGCAGAGTGACAGCAGGCAAGCGGGCCAGTATGGGCGCATCATCAGTCCACCGGTGCACCTGCCTAGGAGCCCCGTGTGCCTAGAGTTCCAGTTCCAGGCCTCGGGTGGCCGCGGGGTGGAGCTGCAGGTGGTGCGGGAAGCCAGCCAGGAGAGTAAGCTCCTGTGGGTCATCCGCGAAGACCAGGACGGCCAGTGGAAGCATGGACGCATCATCCTGCCCAGCTACGACATGGAGTATCAGGTGGAGTGGTGGGGGGGAGTTGGTGGGGAGGTGCTAGGGAATCACTGTGAACCCCATTCCTGCATTTGAGAGGGCCGTGCCCATTCATCATTAGGGACTCAGTTAAGGCCTGCTGTTTTCATTGTGCTTCTCCTGTCGCCATGGCAACTAAATGACACTTATTTGTTATTCAGAATGTGCCTATCTCTACACCCAGACTTGGTTCTTTGTTCCTCCTATTGCCTTTTATATTGCTGAAATCTCCTCCAACAAATGTTTCTTCTCTCCATTTTATTTTAGATTGCTATCAGGTAGGCTGACAAAGGCACACAAAGCACAGGGAAATAAACACAAACAAACCCTCCACACACGAGGGAAGGGGCTGTGGAACCCCTGGAAGTACAGAAGATGGGAGTGGGTGTGCCAGGAGGGGCGCAGATGTGATTTGCAACCCTCCTCAGCCAGTGGACCCCAGAGCCATAACCACTGCAGGAATTGAGTTCTGTAATCTGTGCCCCACGGAGCAAGACACTGAAGCACGGATGGGCACATGCAGCTGTAGCCGTGAGTCAGGGAGGAGTAGATGCACCGTGGACGAGGTGACTGAGAAGCAGCCAGAGCATTAACCTGCTCCTCCCCAGGCGAGGAGCAGCAACAGATGGCTGCAAAGGCAGCCAACTGCTCCTCCGCCTGCCAGAGGATACGCACTGGTTTCCAGAGAGAACCAAGGAGGGAAAGGATGAAAAAGGCCTGGAGATTGCAGAGCACAAGGCTTCTGGGAACAGGCTTCAGCCTCCCTCTCTTGGGGTTGCCAGGCATCCTGAGACCCTCCCACCTCTGCCCGGGTTCCCACTCACTAACCTCATTCATGTTTTATAGTTACCTGTTTGCATTATCCCACCCACCAGACAGGGAGCTTCCCCAGGCAGAGGTCATCATTCATTTTGTTCCTGTCCTCGTGCCTGGCACATAGTAGGTGCTTGGTGAGCCACCAGAAAAGGGTAAATCATTTCCCTCCCAGTTGAAATAATAGCAACCTGAGGAACCCCATCCAAAGGAAGTCCAAACCTGTGGGCTGTGTTTCTCACGTTACCCTCACCTGCTCATGTCCTCTGAATTTTCATGCCTGGTCTGGGCATTTGAAAGATTTATGAGAAAAGAACCTCAGAGATAGCGAGAGAAATTTCAGCACACCTTCATTGTGCTCCCTGAGTACATTCTAGTTACTGGACAACAATGTCTGCCACCTTATTACATTTTCTTACACCTTCAAATATGCATTTGATTTGAACGAGCCTTTAAATTAAGATCTCAGTCGCTGTTGCCATGTGTTCAACAGATGTGTACCAGGTGCAGTAACAAGCACGTGCATATGCACACACATGCATTAAGCTGCAGTTACCAGAAAGTTGGAAGTCTGCATTTGGACCAAGAAGTTTAGTTGACCATGTCTCTTGTTCTTCTGGCTTCTAGATTGTGTTCGAGGGAGTGATAGGAAAAGGACATTCAGGAGAGATCGCCATTGATGATATCCGGATAAGCACCGATGTCCCCCTGGACAGCTGCATGGGTAGGTGGCTACTTATCTCTTTGTGGCTCTTTTAAATAAGACACAAGGGGCTGGGATGTACAGGAGCCATTTTCAAACACAGTTGTTACAGACTGCACAGGCAGCGAGGTGCAGACAGTCATAGCTCGGACTGACGTCAGGGTGGAAGGGTTGGGAGCTACTTCTATCCGTGTTCCTGGTCAGAAGTAGATGTGCACTAAGTATGTGGAGATTTCACAGTGCCAAGACCCCATCATCAAACTCCAGTTTTTAGCAAAGAAAATACTACAGAATGAAAGCAGCTGCCAGTCAGAATTACATGCTGGAAAGGTTTGATGGATTTAATGGAAGCCTTCAAAAATAGTCCACTGTTATGTAAGAGTAATAACACAATTACCCAAGGCATTCTTTTACATGAATGAATTTCAGAGGACATTATGACATGAAGTAAGATGGCACATTTTGCTTTAAATCTCCTACCTCTTATGCCCAAGACCCTGGAGTCACAGGAGGATACACCCCATATGCCAGGTGATCGATGCAGGAGCACACCACAGCTGCCACCTTGGTCACAGTGCTGAACAGCAACGGGGCCACATACTGTTGCAGGGTCATCCCAAGAGCACCCAGACCATTTTTGCCCAGAGGGACAGACATTCCCAAGTAAGAAAGAACTCCTGAGAAGGACAGGAACCTGCTTTCAGTCAGCGCAGGATCTGTAACAAGTCCCCAAGGCCCACAAGTCCCTGTTGTGTGTGTGCCTAATGATGTCAGAAACAACTGAGATCACCCCAGTGCTCTTGGGCAACGCTCAGGACCTGGGCATCTAAAAGTAAGCCTGGCTCTGAGAAAGTAATCAGTGGTAAGTGACTGATTACAATGCTTCAGGGACCCATTACTCTATGAAGGACTTTTTGTTCCAAAGCAATTTTGAGAATCCTCTCCACCCACCTGAACGCCACAATGATGATGTGTTGGACACAATCCCAACACGTGGCAGATACACGGGGGCACTTTCCATGGTCACATCGTCAAATACGTAGCCTAACAGAAATCATTATGTTCATCCAATTATCTTTCCTTCGTCTAACTCAGATTTTCTTGTTTTCTTTCTCCAGAACCCATGTCAGCTTTTGCAGGTGAGAATTTTAAAGGTAAAAAAAAAAAATTTTTTTTGCATGTCTTTTCCTTCCCCGTGTGATATGAATTTAGTGATGATGGTGGTGGTGGTGGTGGTGGTGGTAGTGGTGAAGGAGGACAAGGGAGTAAACTTCCAAATTTGGCTCTGAGAAAGAACCAGGGGTGACTGATTACAATGCTCCACAAGAAAATAGATGCCTCACCTTCCCACCACTAGATGGCACCAACAATACCTGGAGATTGGGGGATTGAGATCCTGGCTGTCTCTTGTTTAATTAAAGTTTAGAAACCTTTAATAGAGACAAATAGGTTACAGATAAACCTTTCAGCCTTGCATTGTCCAACGGGGAGCAATGAGGCTGAAAATTCAGGAGTACTGAGAAAGGAGAGACCAGGAAGACTGGAAAAAAAAAAATCTGTAGTAAATTAAAAGTGAAATGAGGTGTTGAGGATTTATTTTGGCCTGAAGATGGGTTTTTTGCAGCTCCCGGGTACCAAGGCAGCGGTTTCAATCAACCCGAGAGAGCTGCAGAGCCTAGCAGCTTGTGAGGGAGGAATGCTAGGAGCAGACACCAGAGCTACAGCCACGAGGAAGAGTTGGCCGAGTTAGAAGCCGGAAGCTGGCAAAGGGCTAAGGGGGCGCGTTCAGTGACAGTCGGAGCACTTTAAATACAGGGCTGAAACACAGAAAAGAATAATTTCCCCTTAAAATGTAAACAGCAGAGCAAGAAAGACTAATTTGGGGCGTGTGCCTTGTCAGCAGGGCAAAGGCTTTCTCTGGGTGATGGCTGTGTTTGTGCTTTTCTAATGTGGTGGGCTTCTACATTCTGTCCTCGTAATCCAGCTGGTTGACGCCCAAGTTTCTATCCAGGTTGCTGATGCTAAACACTTAGGAGCTGCTCTAAATGCTTCTCCACAGTTTGCCAGAGTGCAAAACACACACGGAGACGTCACCACCTGAGGACAGGCGGTCTTCAAGGCCTGTTTGGCACGAGCAATCTGAGGGCTGGGATAACCTGTTGGGAGTGGCTGGGCAAACGCTCTAGGGACAGCATCTCCACGGTCAGCACGGCCATTTCTGTGTCTCCCACCTTAACTCAGTGTCTGCACTCTCGCTAACTCGACCCACTCATGCCTGGAAAGAGGTGAATTCCTGGTTGCCAGGATGTTCTGTCTGACTCCAAATCTTTGTTCTGATTTGTCACTCATCACTCGAAACTCTAAGACAAGCAGTGAGGGAGAAAATAACAGCAGAGAGCAAAATAACAGACTCATACAGGATGAATTTTTATTTCTCCCTTGCTATTCCTGTTCTCCCCAAACTCCATGCCACTCCCCACTGCACATATTACAATGTCAAGATTACTCCTGTCCATATATCAGTGCTCTCTGGGTATAGGATTTCTGTGATTGCAAATCCAAAGTATTAGAAGGAAAGCTAAAACTCAAACTGAATAACTTGGATTACAGATTATTTAAGTTCTAAGCCCCAGGTCCCAAGGTCATGCTTATGCTGGGGAAGCAAAACCTGCTTGTATTGTTTCCTCTAACTCCCAGAAAGGCTGGTTCAAGATGTACTGGCAATTGCCACAGAGATGCTGCTCTGTGTATGCTTCGCGTCATGACTGACAAGTGTGATGGCTGAGGGCTTTGCCTCCGTGAGAGAATGAAGAAGCCAGGCCTACGTGCTTTCCTTGAAGCCAAGTGTGTCCTGGGGCTGTACGGTCCAGTCATGTTCACTTGTGAAAAATACCTAAATCTCATGTGAATGGTATTGCTCATTGGCCAAAATAAACACAGGGCTTAGTGGCTTGAAGGTAAGAGTTTCCAGGGCACTCTGGATGGGGACTGGGGGCTCTGCAGAGGCAGGGCTCAAGTTGTGTGGGGTGGCCCATGGCTATTGTGAAGCTGGCAAGCACATTTGCAAGGAGGCAACTGAGTCATGAGAGTAGAGACACAGCCAGGAACCAGGTCAGGAGCAGAATCGGAATTGCAAAGGGACAGTCTTGGTCACACTGGCACGTTGTATGTAGAGCTTTGGGTCAAGAGCAGAATCGGAATTGCAAAGGGACAGTCTTGGTCACACTGGCACATTGTATGTGGAGCTTCAGGTTGGGAGCCAGATAGACCCAGGGCCAAGGGCTCGTGTCTTTTGGGCCTATGACCTCGGTGTGATTCTCTGTATATTCTGTCAAGCAAAATTGTCAGTTTGGGAGAGGAAAGGGGAGAGAGAGAGAGAGAGAGAGAGAGAGAGAGAGAGAGAGAGAGAGAGATTTTGTGTGTGTGTGTTTGATTTAACCAGGCCTGGGCAAAAGAGCAGGGCCCGCTCACCCTTGGTCAGGGCATAAAATTAGTTTTTCATTCACAAAGGGAAAACAGAAATCGGATTGGAGGAGTCAAGATATGGAAAGCTGATGTTGAAAAGCTGATGTTGAAAAGACATTAACAATAGGCATTTACATTGTTACTGTTTTTTTGAGTTGCAGTTGTTTTTCTTTCCCATTATAAATTAACATTTCTGCAGAAGTAATCTCATTCATTAGGAGAGATCATTGTGTACTCAGTAAATCTTTAGAAAAATGCAATAGAAGTGGCCTTTGGACCTGGACTTATTAGGTGCTCTTGATCTTTTGTATTTTGAAGTATCTTTTATTTTCTGGCTGTTACTGATTTCTTGCCATATCACATTGCATTTTTTTCTAATCACCTTGTGTTTTATGCTTTCTGCATACACATAGATTGTGTGTGAGGCCGCAAGGTAGCACCAAGGAGGGGCGTTGGAGGGGAAGGCTTGGTGCAGAAGGGCTACGGAGAAGAAAGTGAAGCAGCTGTGTTGTCATGCAATTTTTTAAAAGACCTTTTTGTTGTTATGAGTCACATCTTAAACAATATAACCTGGGTGTGCTTTTTTTATTTTCTTTTTGCTTTCTTTTTTATAAGGGGTGACTGTAAACACCATACCAGCATGTATCTTTTTCTGGGATTTGAGCTTTAACAAATGAAAAACTGCATAAAAGGAGAGGGGGAGAAAAGACTGAAAAGTGGTGTAATTAAGGTGATGGATTATTTCCTCTTACCCAATACTTTCTTTCTCAATAAAAGAAAAAAGAATAATAAAGAAGCCAGTAAAAATACAGAAAGCCCATAATCAGAGTCGTTGCTGACCAGGTGATTATTTTTAGCAGCTCACAATGCAGACTGGAGTTTTTGTTTGCATCGGAGGCAGCAGATGTTGCAGGCAGCAGGAGCAGAGAGATGGGCCTACTGCTCCCTGGTAGGCAGCCTCGGAAACCCCAGTGAGGCTGCACTCCCATCAGTGGTGCTCAAAGGAACAGCCCCTAGATGGCTGTGGGCCTGGTATATGTCTGTGATCACACTCAGCAGCACTTTGGGATTTCATGGGGTGCCTTTCTGCTGTTCTCCTTAATTTTCAACTGAACAGAACCAAGAGACAGTAAGCACCAAAAGCATTTTGGGGTGATGCTACAGTTGGCTAGCGATCTGCGCCTCAAGCTTTGGGCTCTGTTTGCTTGGTGCTCCTGGCCGATTCCTGCCATTTCCTACTCCTGTTTCTCTTCTCCTCCCAGCCCTCCCCCCTCCTTGCCTGCTTTCCAGAGGCTCTGCCCAGCAGGGCAGCGTGCCACATCCCAGGACTCAGGCCCACAACCTGGCCTCAGAGTGTCATCCTTCCTCCTAGGATTTCCTTCACCCAGAGGCTCTACTAGAAGCACTCATGAGACAAAGCACGAGTCAACTAGTGTTCACCCACTTAATCCTCTAATGAAAGGCAGAAAAGCATTCTTGAACCCTGCCTGGGCTCCAGATAGGCAGCGTGGTGTGTGAATCCTCGGCTCCTCCTCCCCTCCGCATTTCCAGCTGCCAGATTAATGCAAGGTGTTGCTGAGCAGGCAGGAGGGAGATCAGACGTGTGCGGCGCACAGCTGCCTGCTGCCCTCCTCGCCCAGGCGATGAGGGGGCTTTCTCCTGTGTGCATGCTGCTTTCCTGTCCCCTCCTTGCAAGTCCTAAGCAGATCTAAACAGTTCATCTAAATATTGCCCAGGTCAGTTTGAGTAAGGGCAGAAGAAAACTTCTTCCAAGAACACAAAAGAAAAGCATTAGTTGAAAAAAAGTTAAGAATTGTCTGAAACTTCGGCCAGCCAGAGACTCTGAATTTAAAGCATTTTAGGTAGACACAGGCTGGAGGACAGCTGGGGAGGCCCACACGGTTTCTGCTAGCCCACTGAAAGCTTCCAGTCACCCTCCTGCCGTGCCCTGCCCATAAAACAAGTAGGAACATCATTTCTCAGGGATGCTTTGACTTCAACATTCTTTTTCTAAACAAATTAAAGGTTGTGACACATTTTTCTACTATCTTCTATAAACTTTGCTAGGGGAGCCAAACTTTTTCTGTTGTTCATTTAACCTCACAAATTAAAGAAACCGTTCTCCTGAAATCTTCCATCACCAGCCCTTCATTTTCAGCAGGTACAAAAAGGAGTCTGCAGGGGCTGGTGAGATGGCTCAGTGGTCTAAAGCACTACTACTCAAGAACAAGCTCAGAACAAGCTCAGAACAAGCTCAGCAAAGCACAGGGACCGCGGTTC